TTAAAATTCAAGTTTGAGGGAAAGAAAATTTTCTTTTAAAAGAAATAAACTAAATTTTATTTGTTCTCAATTAGCTATATTTTTAAAATTTAATTTAACATGACATTCGGTATTAGAGGCTAACTTTAGATAACTATACTTGTGTTTCTAAATATATATTAGACTTAAGTAAAAATTTTAAATAATGAAAGTAAATTATAGAGTTAAGATGTTTGGTACGAAAGGATAAGACTAAATTTTTTCTATTTAAAATAAATAAAATTGTATTTTTGAATTATTAAGAATCTCAGAGTTTCATGTAAGAAGAAAAGAATGAGACTAATGAAAAATCTTCAAAGCTACAATGAATTTATAAAATGAAGGAATGTGAAAATTTTTTAACTTTAAGAAGATGATAATGAAGTTCAAGACTATCCAGATATAATTATCCTCATATGAAAAAGAAAGAAAAAAAGAAAGGATTGAAAATAATCCTGAAAGAAAAGAAAAAAAAATTATGTGAGGAGAAACTTGAGATGCCTAATCAAAAATTGACTTCACTTGAATCAACTTGAGAAATAAAGTTTTATTACATTTTCTAAACTTGTATTTGAGTATTAGCATCATTACTAATGAATATCACAGGAAATTTTTTTTCATATGAATATTCTAAGTAATTTTCATATGACAAATTGCAATTCTTGAAATGAATAGAGAATTAGAAATCTTAGACTTGACTACTAATATTCTTACACATTTATTTTTGACTTAAGTTGTTAAAAAGTTTTATTAAGTCGTGCTATTATATTCAGTATATTAAATTATAGAAATTTAGAAGTTAAACTATGTACCATAAGTCATATTTTTATATAGTAAAAATATTACTTAAGAATAAGTAACATTTAAGCTTGGGAAACTTTAATATACCAAAAATATATGCATTTTTAGACCTATATTTTCTACTCATTTTTAGTGATATTGCACTTTAAAGAAGTGATATTGCACTTTAAGTGATATTGCACTTTAAAGAAATGTATTTTGCATGTTTTTAACTTTAGGTACAAGAAATGGACTTTTATTGAAAAAGAAGAAAAAACGGTGCAATTTAGAGCTAAAACGACTAAGAAAGAAAATTCTAGTCTGATAGATTTCGATGTCTTTCTATGCTTAATCTAATTCTCACTTCTCACATATTTTTGAATGAAATTACACTTTAAAGAAATATTTTTTTCATGCTTATTTTGTAGGTCTATCTGTTAGGAACGAAACGTAACTAAAACGGGACGAAACAGAGCTGAAACGAAGTCAAACAGAGCGAAACAGTGGAGCTGCTGCAAACTGACGTCAACTGCGACCGAGTCCAAAGAAGGGACGAAAAATGACGCCAAAGGCATCCAGACCGGCGCCGACGGCGCCCGGGACGATTATGGACAAATTTTTGGTGGTTTTTGATGTTCTAAAAGGCTCCCAAGTGATTCAAACACCTCATAAAGTGATTTAATGCATCTAGACACTTGAAAATGCTCTTAAATGAAGGGATGTGTCTCTTGAAGTTAATGAGTGGTTTTTAAACGAAGAGATGTGTCTCTTATAGTGATTCAATGAATCTAGACACTTGGAGTGAAAAAATGTGTCTCTTGAAGTGAATGGGGGTGTCTCTTAGGAAAAAGGAGGAAGTTTGTGCCTCTTTAAAAGAGAGGGGCTAGTGCCTCTCGTAGCAGGGGTGTGAGTGTGTGTGTGTGTGTGTGTGTGTGAGTGTGTGTGAGTGTGTAGAGTAAAGTCTTGTTTATGGAGAGGATTTTCTTGAAGAATTGTAAGAGGATAGGAAATGTAAGAGGTTTCTTCTCTATTACATTTCTAAGAGAGAATTCAGTTTTGATTGTAAAGAGAGAAAGTGCTTCAAGGGAACTTCAACGGATTTGCTTGAGGAGGAGTTTAAGATAAGCTGTGTTCTTTCGTTTCTTGGTTTTGTAAACTTGTTTATATATATATAATCTGTGTTTTGTCGTTTCTTCCTCATGAATTCTGAGTAGTCTTCTTTGTTTTTTTCCCTGCAATGAGATATGGTGAAATTGAGAGATAATTTGGATGTGTCAATTAAATGTTAAATAATTATGATGATTTTTCACTTCGTTTTTCATTTACTTTTCAATATAACTAATTGAAATATTAAAATTTGTTATGAAACATACGATCAGGGAAATGAACTATGAGTTCTATAATAAAGTGAGAATCACATTTGATTCCATGGAGGAGTATGTCGTTCATGGAACTTAGTGCAAATAAATAGAAAAATATACGTTGTTGGGCGTAGAATTGGAGATTTTAGTGTGAAAGACTAAAATCCTCAATTTAGCCTTAGTATTTAAGAACTGAAGTGAGAGTCGGCCTTCAGGGGAAGGAAAGTGGGAGCTCTAGAGTGAGAGAAAGTATCTTCCCAACCCAACCACGGATTTAAGGACTAAAACTAAGATTAGTCAATGATTCTCTATAACACTTGACCGAGGGTAAATAATTAAAACTGGACATATTTGACACAATACAAATTCAAACTATTTATCTCTATCATTAACCAAAAATTCATTGTAGTGGGAATAATATTTTCTTAAATTTGAACTCTTCGTCACAAAACTTTGTTTAGTCTTAGTAAATTTAACTTTAAAGTTTTGAAACTAATTCAGTAAACTTAGTTTCGTTAGCATACAGTAAAACCACTTTAATCAACCTTCCAAACTAATTGTTTATAGTAGTAGACTAAAATTAGTCTAAGGGATTTCTTACCTCGCTTCTTCGTAAGATCGATACTGGGGTTTTTAAAGAAAGTCCTATATTACTTGAAGTGATACGTGCATTTGCGTAGAACTCATAGTGTGTGAACTAATTTCTCCATTTTATAATATTTCAATTTTACATATTAGCTGCTACATATAGATTGGGTCAAATTTTTTGTCGTCTTTTGAAAGTTAAATTACTGTGTAACTGCAGGTCGAGTCAAGTTTTTGACGTCGTCGTATGGAAATTAAATTGACGTAAAACACGCAGAAAAACAACACACACTAAGGGCGCATCAGGAATCTTTCACACTGAGTCTATAGAGATCAACAGTGGCTCAATCACAATATATTTCGTACTATTTACATCGTGAAAGAAAACTGTCCAACCTCATCATAAATTGAGGCAATTATGAAAATGTGGCATCTACATGGTTGTTGGATAAATTTGGTCTCACTTTTTCAACCCCACTTAGTGAGATAAAGGTTTGTTGTTGTACTCAAAAGCATTCTCAATCATATTATCTGACTTGGTTGAAGAAGAGTAAGATCCGTGTTAACGGGAGATGACTCGTGAAGTTTTCTATCAAAGATAAGTTTCAGGAGCAAGTTTGGTGTGATTTGGTACCTATGGATATGTGTCACTTGCTATTAGGTCATCCTTGGCATCACGATCGGTGCACATATCATGATGGCTTACAAGAACACATATTCTTTCACCAATGATGGAAAGTGCATTGTACCCTTGCCTTGGAAGGAGTCTGGGGTGTTTAAGGATGTAGTGCCATGAACTATGTTTTTACAAGTCTTGAGAAAAGCGCCAGTCGAACTAACATTGGTTGTCCCAAAAGGTGATGAGTTCAAAGAACCAATGTCAAACACAGTGCAACCACCATTAAGAGCAATGCAAAATGTCATCACTTTAGATAGGTTTGAAAAAAATTTGAGCTATTTCTGTAAGGCCCTAAGGATTAAGCCGAGTACTAGATTTCAATTCGGTTTAGTGGCACACTAACGAACAGGATAAGAGTGGTGTTGTCTGAAAATCTCTGCAAGTATCTTATGGTGTGGAATCCAAGTGTTTTCAGAGATGTGGCAAATCCTCTCCTACCCAAGGTGAGTGATGCAAGACACGTGATGGACATAAGGATTGTGGCTTCCAAGCCAGGGGATCCCGCAGTTACGGGAATGACAACCAAGGAAATCTGATTTTGATATATTTCTTATTTTTTAAGCAAATTTCAATCTTTCCTTCTTTACTTTCTAGTTTTTTCCTATTTCTCTAGTTTCTAATTAGGTTATTTTCTCAAGGGGTCTTTATATAGGTTGTATTTTGATTTTGGATTATTCAGTTTTGTTGATGTTATGAAGTTGAGAGACTTTTCTTTGATTTATGCTCTTAGGAGTGTTGCAACTTCTTATAGCAAATGGTGTGCTTGTAGCTTTCCCAGGAACCACAAGTGGATCCCCCTCAACGTCTGCACTTACTTCATTTTGTCGTTTTGTTGTTCAGCAATTGTTTTCAATCCGGACAACTGCCCACCTACTCCAATTGCTGTCCAAATGCAGGTTTTATCTCATCTCAACCTCCAGACGACGCAAATACACATGCTTCATTCCCTTGTTATTCCACAACCACTTCCACGCTAAATTCCCTTCCTAAATATCGTCTAGGAGCCCTAGAACGGTATCAAACTTCCTCTCTAGCTACAATAAGATCCCTTACGTCCTCCCCATCCCTTCTTACACTTATTGTGACCTAGGACCAAACCTTACATCATCCCTAAAATTTCAATTTGTTGTCAATTAGATAGATTATTGGGTTTCACATCCTTTAATCTTTCTAAGCTACAGTTCAATACTCTTCTTGGCTAACTCGCGCGCTTGAACTAGTGAACTTAAACCATTTCAACTTCAAGTCTAAGATATGTCTAAGCTAATCATCTAAAACTATTATATATAGCAAATGTAAGAAATGAAACCTGCTCTCCAGCAAAAAAATGTTATCTTCAATGCATTTCTTGAAGTGGAAATGCACAAACAACTGGAGCATATAAATCTATTAATACAAAATTCATGAAAGGCTTATAATATAGATAAAAGTTGAAATATTTCATCCTTAAAAGATCATACAGCCCGTGATAAGCAAAAATTTTCACATTTACAGTATAAGATAACCCAATTATACTCAACAAGATATACTTGCTAACAGAAAATATGAAGATATGATGCATGAAACTTTCATCTAACCATTTTGCAACAATAAGAGGCGATTTCTTCGGAAGGAGGTCGTCCATGAGAGGTTCCAAAATAGGGTACTGAAAAAAAGTTGACAAATTGTCACATTTTGACACTTCAGACAACCAATTGAATGGGACAAATGCAAAATAAACAACTAGATCACTTAACCTCATCAACAATGCTTTGTCGAATCTTCCGTTGTACAGATGCTTTTACTTGATTTTGTGCAGAAATATCTTCCAAGGTAAATCTTCAAACAGTACAAGTTTTTAGTGGATGAAAGGAACCTTTCCTAAAACAATCTCAATCTACAGAGGATGATGATGATGATAATCTAACCATACATAAGCATGGTTGGTTACAACATTGTTTCCTCATGAAAGAGTGAAGAAAAAAATTAAAAAAAAACATAAATATCAGTAAGATATTGATGATGGATCTATTTAGAACTTCGTAAACATTAACATAGTTCGATACAGTATATAATCAACAAAGAAGCGTAAAATTGCTAACAGAGGTAATGCCATCAATACCATCATCTTTTTTCTCATCTAAGAACATACCAACATGGGAAGATCTAGCATAAGACAACAATAACACAAACCCCAAGTTCACGAATGTCCCACCGAATTATCCAATTGAGTGACCCCCAAAAAAGTTGAGATAGAAATCAGGAGTATATTCTTTGGTAAATTATCAGTAAGTCATGTTAGTCATTGACATTGCAATGATTAAACAAAACATAAGTCATAAATTGCTTTAGAGCTTAATTTAAATACGGGCTAGGGGGATTTGCATGAATTGAAGTTAGGAATAAAGCCTAATTTTCTTATAATGATCCTACTCAAATAAATAATAGTTAAAAAAAGATTCAACCCTGCAGACCAAACAGCAGAATCATAGCAAACAGGAGGATGGAAACAAACGCTAGTGTCCACTGGGGCGCCCCAGTAAACGCTTACGGCTTATATCACAGATCAAACTCACAAACACATACCGTTGAATTTTACACTGCACAAACAGACCATTTCAAAATCCTTTAAACATATCTTAGTCCATCGATCACTCAGCATAAATAATTCAACGGAAAACGGAAAACTTCAAGCCTTTATCAGATAACAGCCAAAGGAACAGAAATAACAAAAGAAAAAGGGTTACAGAAACCAGAGAGAGCAGAAGACCAGACAAGCTTCACGCATATACAATTCATAAAACTAATTAAACATCTAAGAAGCTTCTGCTATCACATTTGCAGCATCGGCTTCAGTTCGGACACATTGAAAGCTTGTGAAAAGTTCAAAATATGGGCTGATTCAACCAATGAAAAAAAGATAAGGGACTCACTTCTTGAACATTCTGCAGTAGACGAATCCCTAAGAACGACAGCAACGGCGAGAGGCCTAGCGACCGAGCTTTCCTATGGCCGGAACTCGGAATCAGGATCGCGTGAAGACGATGTCGACTCCCAGCAGCCGAAAGTTTGAGAGATTCATTTATAACTTCTTTTACAAAAAAAAAAAAAAAAAAAATTATGAAAAAAACTTTAACCCAGCTTGACCGATGGGTTATAGGAATATTCTACCGATGGGTTATAGAAATATTCTATGCAAAAAAATATTTTCACGTATTTACGTATTATTGATGTGTTATTCAGGATTTAGCAATATTTCATCTATGTTATTCTAAATATTTTTTGTATTATTCATGTATTATTGAAGTGTTATTGTGAGTTTAAAATATTCTCTCGTGTTATTCATGTGTTATTTAATGTGTTATTCAATCTGTCTTATAGGAATATTCCCTCGCGTTATTATGAATATTTTTCTTATTATTCATTTATTATTAATGTGTTATTCATGTGTTATTGAGGGTTAGGAATATTTCGTGTTATAGGAATATTTCTTGGCATTATTATAAATAGTTGTCGCATTTTTTATGTGTTATTTAATGTGTTGTTAAGGCTTTAGAAATATTTCGTGTTATAAGAATGCTGCTCTTCGAGGGAGTTTGGCTGCATGTAGGAAGTAGGTTAAGTAGGATTTAATAAATCCGGTAAATTTAAACTTATTAAATTTGGTGGTGTGAGGAAATGTTTGGTATGATTTAATTTAAATGAACTTGAATTCATCTCTTATGTTTGGCATTTTATCATTATTTAATTTTCTTGTGCCCTAATTTTGTTATATCTGATATTTGGATTTAGTAAATTCGGATTTATGTTAAAAATTTATCCGAAGGAGATAAATTTAGATTTAGTAAACTGTTGGATTTATTTCATGATTTTTCACGTTTGGATGGATTTACGTTAGAATTTTCGTAAATTCTACTAATAGGAAATACAAAAGTCAAATATTTTTGTTGTTTTTAAAATTAGAAGTAGTCATTTGATTTGTTATATATTGTAAAAAAAAATCGGTGTAAATGAGATATAATATATTTTAAAAATTCTAAAGTTATTTTATTTGGTGTAAAATAAATATAGGACTTTATATTTTTATTTTGAGAAAATTGAAATCAATATATAACACGGTTTATGAGTGCATTGACGATGATAAATAGGTAACGTTTGGTGGGTGGTTGACATTAATGCAACGGAGTAGAGTTTTTGATGTGTTTAAAAATCGCCCAAAATATGAATTTGGATTATACGTGATTTAAACTTCATGAAAATTTTTACATTCACAAAAAGTTTATATTGCATTCAATTTTCACGAGACAAACTGTAAAATTTTTAAAATCCTTATATTTGCTTTGTTTAATACCAAAAATTCCTCAAACCAAATAATCACGAGTCATTTTTTTGTTGAATAATTATTTTGTCTGTAAATCATACCAGAGGAATATAGTGTAAATTAGGAGAGAGAGAGATACTAAACATTAATCTGTCATGTCTTATTCACAAAATGATTCTCCTAAGTATGAAAATGATGATATTAGATTTTTGTCCCTACTTTTAAGGGGTCTGTATTGGGATATTTATGGTATTTTACATGTACAGAGTTATTATCTGGTTATTTTCTGTTTCAACCGATTAAGCATGTTTGGCTTTAGGTCGGCTGGATCAGCTCGGTCGGTTGAGCTTGGTTAATATGGGGCAACCAACTCAAATGGCTTGGTTGTTGATCCTTGATAACTGATAAGAAACCTATAAGCGTACCTGGATGGTTGGAGATACTAGATAACTAAATCTTACCTTAAGTGACTCTATTGGTAGGCCATCATTTCGGGTTGGCCTTCCTAGATGGTAGGCAACCACATCAAAATTCGTTTTCCTATAGTGTTTGGCTCAGACAACTTCTTTGAATCGATGTAGTGGACCTCACATACTCCTTGCAATGGTTCAACCTTCTCCAAACTCTTCCTTAAGAACTGTTAGATTTCTTTGAAATCGGTATTGCCACTTCTTTTATGTACATCTATTTATCATTAAAACGTAATTTTAACATTTGCCATACACAAACATAAATGATGCTCATTATTAATTTTCTATCCAAACAATTACTATTTATGAAAGTTTACATATATACCATGTTGTTCTTATGTTTTACATATCTAACTCCTAAAATATGATATTTATATTTATAACATTTTAGTGTCATAAATCTATTGATAAAATGATATATTTTCCTTTAAGAAAATAGCGCTTGTAATATTTTTGATGTGATGGTAAATATTTGAGTGATATTCATATTAATATTAATATTTACATGTTAGATATGTAAATACATAAGAATTGCATGATAGGTATGTAAATGTCCCCTTTAAGTATTTATATGCAAAATTTTGATAAATTCTCCAATTGATTAATTATTTTATATTTTAAATAAAAAGTAAGGGTCTATAAATTCTCAAATGAGAGATATAAAACAAATTTGAAATGAGGTGAAGAGAGGGCTAGAGTTTCTTTGAGCTCCTGTGGGCATTTTTTGGCGCCTGTATAGTTTCTAAGTGTGTTATCCTTTTCCTTCCCTTTCTTTTGGGAAATCTTATGGATACTCTCGAAACATTGCAACGATTGATGCAAGGACGGGGCTAAGGCTTCTTGGTTCCTTTTGACGATCCTTTATTGCTCCGTTTTGGCTCTCTGAGTTAGAAGATCCACTATCTTCCCTTTCTCCCTTCTTTCTCCTCTCCTTCTCATTTTATTCTTTCTTCTTCCTTTTCCTTAAACTAGAAAAGACTTATTTCTTCACATAGTCCTACTACATATTTTAATCCTTCATATTTACCTTGTTTAGATGAGAATATTTCTTTATTAGATTGTGAAGTTGAGGATGATCTATGAAATGGAATCTTACTCTTGTTGAGTACGTTCTCGATTAAGTTTTTCTTATATATATAATTATCTCTTACAATCCTTTGGTAAGCTTTTGAAACTCAAAGGCTCGATTGATCTCATTGCACTTATTGATGGTTTTTTCTTTTTTAAATGTGCTTGTTCTGAGAATTTTGACATTAATTTCTCCAGTGGTCCTTGGTTTATTAATGGGAAACTTTTTCTTTTTAAAAAATGGACACATGGTTCTATACCAATTCGGGAAGATATTAGAGAAATATCTATTTGGGTGAAGTTTTTTAATCTCCCTATATTTTATTGGTCTAATTTGAAATTTCTAAGATAGCTAGCAAGATTGGGATTTCCCTAATAGTTGATCCTTTAACTATTAAGGGTATTCACCTAACCTTTGACCGGGTTAACATACAAATTAATGTTGATTCATCTCTTCCTGATATGGTTACTATAATTCGGAAAGGAAAATAACTTTTTATTTCAGTTTTATAGGAGTGGAAGCCTATTGCATGTTGCTCTACTTTCTCTCATAACCTCATAATCTGCCCTAAATCTGGTTCTCAACCTAATATTGCTCTTATTCCCACTTTTTTCTGAAGAAATACTAATATGAGTTTTAATTTGTATAGCTTACAGAAAAACAAAAGCAAATCAGTTAATTTGGCATGATCTTTTCAAATTTTTAATGTGTTGAATAATGATTCTCTTGCTAATAATATTGGTATTGCTATTGGTGCTTCTGAGAATGCTTTAATATCCTTAATTTTTCCAGCATCCAGCCTCTGATCGTAATATTATTGTTGATGTTGTTTCTAATAGTAATGATATTTTAGAACCTCCTAATCCTGCTCTTGATTTACCTATAATAGATATCGTTGTAGTTTCTTCTAATTATGTTATTAATCCTGAATGTGCTAAGGATAGTTTAAATGATAATAATGTTTTGTTGCAAACTGAACGTATATGAATGATCCAACTAGAAATCAGTGTTCCAGAATTTTTAATTAGACATCCACAGCTCCTATTAGTTTTAATTCTATTAGAAATATTTTAAATAATAAGAATCCTCCTTCTTCTTTTCCTCCTCAATATCGAGCTAGAAAAGAAACGAGTAAATAATTTTAGTGTTTACATTTTTTGTTGTCTTTCTGTTTTTTTCTATATTAAATGTTTTTTTTTTCATATTTGATTGCTTGGAATATTAGAAGGCTTAATAATGATGCACATATTGTTGATTGCAAAAATCTTTTTAGAAATTAGAAATTTAATATTCTCTGTCTGTTAGAAACTAAAGTTTCCAATGATATTTTTGATAATCCTTTTGTTCTTAATCATTTTAAATTTTTTCAAATGAAGGAAATTGTGATAGAGTTCATATTGTTAATCAAGGAAGAATTTGGATTAATTGGAACTAGAATACTCTTAATTTCTCTGTTATTCATATTTATCCTCAGTCATTCATAAGCATGTTATTAATTCTTCTTATGTCACTTTCTATGTGACTTTTATTTATGCTGATAATAGTGCTACTATAAGTAAATATTTTTGGAAGTCTATTATAGTTATAGCTGATAATATGGTCGTCCTTGGCTTCTTCTTGGAGATTTTAATTATATTCTTAGAGTTAATGAGAAAGTTGAGGTTTTACCTCCTTTGCGTGGCAAGTTTTTAAACTTTAATATTTGTATTTCTATGGTCGGTCATATTGAGCTTAAGAACTTTGTTTATTCTTATAGTTGGTTCAATAATCAATTGAATTATTCTATAAGATGCATTCTTGACAGGGTCCTTTGTAAATTTAGACTGTGATTCTTTTTAAAAAGTCTTAAATGCTTATTCTTCTAATCATCATCCGATTTATATTTTTGTGGGCAATTTCAATAAGTTTCATTGTAAATTTATTAATAAGAATTTTTGGAGTTTATATCTTAAATTTTTTTCTATTATTACTTAGCCTTGGAATATTAAGTTATCGAGGATCCTATTTTGTTGTTTGTAAGAAGCTACGTAATGTCAAAGTTGCTCTTAAAGGTTGGACTAGAATTCTTATAATGCTCATTTGGCTCATAATTTTGAACTTAAACAAAATCATAGTTTATTCATGTCTAACTTGAAATACCAACCTCTTTCAATTGATCTACTTAATCAAGCTTTTTTTATTCAAAATGATAATACAAATGCTATTATTTGTGATTATATGGAAA